AGAAAAGCTTTGACTGCATCACATGTAATTTAAATTCAAACTAAGATGTGGAAGTTTTGACATATCCACGCTGAGCGAATGGTTTTGTGATTAAATATATTCTTTCTCATGGAGCAAGGATATAATCTAGACTATATTATATCAATATAGGTATAAAAAAATAGTTTGACGTTATTTAAATAGCGATGCCTGTGCTGAACACAGCTTGACATGATTTTCTATATCATTTAAAATTTAGGGGATCATTAAAAAAAGTATGGATTTATGGAACATAAATATGAAATAAAGGAAAATGATTCCCATAATGAATGTGAATATTATGGAGATTAACAGCCCCAATAAAGCTTGAAGTGAAGGACAGAAGTGGAAGACGGAGCCAAATTCATAAATTTGAAAAATGTACATCGTCCGTATACTTCAGGATTGATCAAAGAGAGTACAGGTCTGGAAAAGACGTCAAACCTGCTGGAGCTGCTGCTAAATTACACAGATGGTAAAGTGACATCTTACACTGTAACATGACAAGAGGCTGTTTTCTTACAAATTAAACTTCTTGTGTTAACGGAGGTAAAAGCGTGAAAATGGCGGAAAAGGCTGAGCAACACGAGGGCTCGTAATTGTAAGAGACAGAGAAATGAAAAAAAGTTAAGCAAATAGAAAAACTCTGTAGACACAAGAAGAGAAAAAAAAACGTCTCGAAAAACCACGAGAAACAGAAGCTTCCTGTCCGCACACACACACACACACACACACACACACACACACACACACACACACACAGTGGAACATCTGACTGTGCCAACACTCGGCTGTTATTAAAGAACACTGGAGCCAGATCGGGTGCAGGGGCATAAAAAAGTGGCACAGAGACAGAGAGGTGTGAAAATGTAGAAAGTGAAGAAGACGGGTTGGATTGCAAAATGAGCAAATTATCATGAGTGAGTGTGTGTGTGTGTGTGTGTGTGTGTGTGTGTGTGTGTGTCGGTCTGATTCAGTGATGGACTGCAGACGGTGGAAAGAGAGATAGAAATAGAGCAAGAGGTTTATAAATATGGAAAGAGAAGAAAAAAAAAAATAAGGGGAAGGACGGGCAAGAAAACAGGCCGAGGCCAGAGAGAGAGAGAGAGGGAGAGAGATAGAGAGAGAGAGGGAGAGAGAGAGAGGGGGGGAGAGAGAGAGAGAGAGAGAATGTTTACTGAAAATAGGTGAAATGAGGAGAAAAAGGAAAACAGGTATTAACAAGTCTTGGTATGAATTGAGAAGACACAACAACTCCTCCTCCTCCTCCTCCTCCTCTTCATCCTCGTCTCTGATGTTAATGTCTTCTGTCATTAACAATGACCCTAAACGATCACACTGAATGAGAAGCAAACGTACATGTAGCCTGTCAATCACTGCGATGATCGGTTACACCGTTTAATGTGAGCTCTTCTCTAAAGTTCAATTTTGAATCAAACACTTAAAGCTGCTGTAAAAAATAATCTTAAAGGTTCAGTGTGTAGAATTCAGTGACATCTAGTGGTGCAGTTGCATACTGCAGCTGAATACCCTTCACAGTCATCATAGAAACTCAGAAGGTGTTTAGTTTGTCCGATCTGGGCTTCGGTAAAAAAACATGGCGGCCTCCGTATAAAGAGGACCCGCCCCTGGTGTAAGTATGAAGTGTTTAAAATATAAAGAGCTCAGTCTATAAAGAAAACAACCGTTCGTACAGTTTAGATGAAACATTCGTGAAAAATTCATCATCACACTGGACCTTTAAATCCACAGTGTGTTTTTTTCCCTCAGGTCTGGTGTGAAAACCATTAGTGTAGTGATATTAACCACAAAGCGAGTCTTGAGAGCGGCTGCAGTGTAGAACAAACACACGCTCAGATCACTGAATTGTCTTCGCTCCAAAACACACAAGGGATTGGCGTGCTGTATCATAATAAATCCCTGGAGGCCCCGCAGAGCCATGGGAATGCAACATCAACCTCATCACATGAGACGGGTACTGCAAGTCTCCTGCTACTCTCCTGGGAAAATAAAATACATCTCAGATCCAGTGCCACCACAGCCTTTCACTTCCAATCTGTACTTCAAGACAAAGAGATTCAGGCAAAGTGAATTAGCATCTTACACAAAGGGGATGGGGGGGGGGAAAGGAAGATGGAGAATTATCAGCAAAGTCACGTCCTCTCTTGAGCAGAGAGGATGCAGTTATACGCAGTTGTTTTGGGTAAAGCCGCTGAAAAAAGTCGATTAACCTCGATT